GCACCTAGTGCTCCGATTACCACTGGGACCACCGCCACCTTCACCCTCCACATCTTCTCGAGCTCTTCTCTGAGCCCTTGGTATTTCTCGAGCTGCTCGTGTTCCTTCTTCCTAATGTTGCTCTCATTCGGAACCGCTACATCAATCACTGTGGCCGTCTTCTCATGTTTGTCTATCACCACTATGTTCGGTTGGTAAGCCACCACCATTTTGTCCGTCTGTCTTAGCTCGGTCATTCTGGTTGCAGCTTTCCTAGCGGCCTCTTCATGGTTCCCATTCGCCTGTGGGATCCCCAGGTACTTGTAACTGTCCTCTATGTCTGCAATGCTGCCTTCTGGTAGTTTGATCCCCTCCGTTCTGACTACCTTCCCTCTCTTTGTTACCATCCGACTACACTTCTCCAGCCCGAACGACATTCCGATGTCATTGCTGTATATCCTGGTGGTGTGGATCAGTGAATCGATGTATCACTCTTGGCATACAGCTTCATGTCATCCATGTACAGGAGGTGGCTGACAACTGCTCCATTCCGTAGTCGGTATCCGTAGCCAGCCTTGTTAATGATCTCACTGAGGGGGTTCAGGCCTATGCAGAACAGCAGTGGGGACAGAGCATCTCCTTGGTAGATCACGCACTTGATGGTGACTTGTGCTATGGGCTTGGAGTTGGCCTCCACTGTTGTCCGCCACATCCCCATTGAGTTCCTGATGAAGGCTCTCAGGGTCCTGTTGATCTTATATAGTTCTAGGCATTCCAGGATCCAGGTGTGGGGCATTGAGTCATAGGCCTTCTTGTAATCAATCCAGGCCGTGCACAGGTTGGTCAGTCTGGTCCTGCAGTCTCGGCTGACTGCTTGGTCTGCCAGTAGATGGTTTGCGCCTCTGGTATTCTTGCCCATCCCTTTCTGTGCCCCGCTCAAGTTCAAGTTCAAGTTCAAATTTTATTTGCCACATGCAGTGACAGGTTGCCCTGCAGTGAAATGAACCCGCCCCCCGACCTTACACACACAACACAGACATCACATGGGGATACAAGTCAGAGAACGGCTGCATTACAGAAAAACCACTGAAATGTACACTACAATGGGAACGTACAAGAGGAAAAAAAGAGACTTCTACTCATGCTGGGCTATAGGAGGACAGCATGAGAACAGGAAACAAAAAAAACTCCTCTGCACAGAAAGCACATAAATGTCCAAAGTACAACATTATAGAGCACGTGACCAGCAACAGGGTTGGGTAGGGGACGAGGAGTAATCCCAGGCAACACAGCAGCCATCCTGCCACTGCGCCGTCTCTCCAGCGCGGGTCCAGACCCGCCTCGTGTTCCCAGGAGGCAACAAGCATCGAAGCCGTTGGAAGGGGAAGGGGGATGAGTGAATGCTTATCAGTGTAAGTGTGTGTGTGTGTGTGTGTCCAGAGTTCAGCTGAGACAGTGTCCTTCGCCCTACCAGGCTAAGTAAACAGTCTTCCAGCCAACCCAGGTGGCCTTGCATAGAGTGGGAAGAACGGTCAAAAACACAGTCATTATCAGGGTGTTGTTGTTCGGCTCCAGCCTTGAGCCCACAGCCTTGAGCCCACAGCTTGCGCCGAAGGGATAGCCGCAATAAAATGGTGATTTTTCTTTTGTGCGAAAAACTCATGAGAATTTCAAAGCTGCTCTTTAACACGCCGACACCAACACTGGTCTCTCAATCTCCCATTGGAGAGCCGCGAGTGTTGTCATTCTTGTGCTCAGAGAGCCGATTCTGAGAACTCCCGACTGCAGTGAGCTGCTCCACGATGTAATCCAACTTTCTCTCAGAGATGTTGTTCTGAGTGGACTTCTCCTTGATGTAGTCCAATGTACGCTCAGAGGTCTTATTCTGAGTATTCACGGCAGCCGTAAGCTTCTCCAAGATCTAACCATGCTGCACTCAGTGAGCCCATTCTGAGAAGTCGCGCCTCGTCCCATCGTTTCAATCCCAGCGGGCAGCCTTGGGGGGGTTTGAACAGCTGGTTCCACTTTCTTAATTCTCCGATAAGCCAGGGCCAAGCCAGCTCCAATCAGCAAGAACCCTGTTATCATGGTTCCGAATAGTTCCGACAATATCTTCAGCGTCCTCGATCGACAGTCCCGCCAGGCACACGATCCTCCATTTCTGCCACCCGTCCATCGTGTATCCGGCAGGGAAAGTACCTCCAGGACACTCAGGCTCACCCGAGCCCAGACGTCTCATTGAGAAGAGGGTGTCAATAGCATTCAGAGACCAGTTGATCAAATCCATAATTCTGTTTAGGTTTTAGAGAACAGACTGTGAGAGAGTGTTCCAGGGAAAGTAATACACACGAGACAAGACAAGGACACAAGAGGCTAAGCAGGGAAGATAAGGGGAAGGAGGAGAGGAGAAAAGTGTGACCGCCTTCACCGAGAGCCAAACGAGAAAAAAAAATTTAAAAACTCTCATGTATTGACCCATGTGCCTGTTTATCTTAGCCGCTATGCTGCCTGACAGGAGCTTCCACGTGGTGCTGAGGCAGGTTATTGGTCGGTAGTTGGAGGGGACCGGTCCCTTCTGCGGGTCCTTGAGGATCACAACTGTCCGGCCTTCGGTTAGCCATTCCGGGTGTCTCTGGTTCATTTGTGCTGCCAGGTGCTCGTGGATATATATATAGATATATCTATATATCTATAGATAGATAGATAGTGTGGAGCAGGGAAATTATTTTACTGCTATTGTTAAATAATTGTCATCATTACCATTGCATTAAGAATATAATCTGTAGTTGATATTGTATTCAGAGGTTTAAACAGTGTGTGTCTTTTAGAAAGACTAAGTGCAGCAGTTGACAGGAAGTTGCAGAGAGTTGCAGAA